CCATTTTTTATTTTAATAAACATATGGAAATATATATATATTTTTTTAAACTATAAGTGTTCTGCTATTCCAGCACTATGAAGGAAGGAGATAAGTTCCTGAAATATGTTATATTTTTTGGCCCGCAATAAGCTTTGCAAGTCTGTGAATTTTGTAAAAAACGGAAAATTGCTCCTGAAATTGTTATACCTTATACAGTCAAAAATTATGTGATTGGCAGTATCTTTAACCTGACACACTGCACAGATATCGCTAACTTCTCTTTTAAATTTACTAATATATGTCTTACCAAAAGTATGCCCAGTAAGTAACCTATTCAGTAATTTTATATCATAAACCCCTAAATATACATGTTTCTTTTTGAACCATGGTTTAAACTCAATTCCACCGCCATTTTCAACAAAAAGTTTTCCTTTGATAATACTCACTTCCTCAAATTCCCTTTTCCAATCAGCCCAGATTTTATTCGAAATTCTGGTTAACGCCTCACTTGGTGTCAAATCTACATCTATTTCTAGCCCCCTATCCACAGCTGCTTTCGCTGCTTTATCCGCTTTTTCATTGTCAGTAATACCGATATGACTCGGAACCCAAATAATTTTAACACACTCCAAATTCGACGAGCTAATCATATTATGAATTTCAGCAACAATATATGAGTCAGTATTCTCCTTATCAAGCGAGTTAATCGCCATCAGACTATCAGTAAAAATTACACCTCTATTTACTTTAAGTCTAATTAGGATTTTAATGGCTTGTCTGATTGCTACCAGCTCCCCAAATGTTGAGGAGAAAGTATCCTTAAACCTATACAAATAGGATATATTTTGATCAATGTCATGAACAGCGGCCCCAACTACTTCCTGTGTTACTGAGGCATCAGTTGCAAGTAAGTAAAAGCCCTCCTTATATAATTCATCTTTAATTACAAGATAATCTGCTCTTAATTGTTCCGTGGTGACATTTACCTTGGATGTACCCAGCCTTGACTTTATGAGTGAGAGTCCATGAAATCTTGTAAAAACCGTGTTGAAATTTATTTTAGTAATAATGTCAACAAATTTATTGTATGCAAAACTATAACTCGATTTATTTCCACCATTGTTCTGTAACTCATTCCTCATGCTTTCATTGTTCATCCATTGTCTGATTAACTCTTTTGTAGTTAACCATAACGCCCTTTTAAGAGGGGGTAATTCACCAGCTAAAGCATATCTAACATGAACCGGTGTGCTTGGAGGAACCCCAAGACTCCTTCTTAGAGCATCATTTAAAGATGTTTGCAATTTTTTGTTCACTCCTCCTGGTGCATTTGCGAAAGTCGAGCAAGCATACTCAGCCTTCGACCTAATGAATGATTTATAAAAGTTTAAAGCAATTTTCGGCTCTAAACCCGCCTTAATACTCGTTAGCTTTTTCAAGGCATTATTAGCTGGAAGAACTTCTCTTTTTATTAACTCGACATGATCATTTATGGTAGCGTTAGCACTAACTATTCTGCCTAACCACTTCATTTTAAACACTTGCTCAACCTGCTGTCCATTCACATCCAGACTAAACTGTCTTTTCCTATTGTTGTTTAAAAGCATGAACTTTGTCTTATTTATATTTATCCTAAGATTAAGGGACCTGCATAAATTAATAAAACGAGTGATAGAGCTTTTGAGGTTATCTAAGGCTACCTCTTCATTGCGACTAAAGCTAATTATGGCAAAATCATCAGCAAATTGGAATATCTTAACACTTTCATCCTCAACTAAGTGGAGGCCTGCTGTATAGACATTGAATAAAACCGGGGACAGACAGCTGCCTTGCGGCAAACCATTATGCACCTGCACCTGCTTGTCTCCTAATTTTAGCACTCTATTTGAAAAAAAATTAAAAATCCACTCAACAGTCTTTGAATCACAACCACCCTCACACATTATTTGCCTTAGTTTATTCAAGTTTACACAATTATATGCATCCTCCAAATCTAAAATGCAGACAAAAGCTCTCTTCTTTTCCATTTTAATTTTATTAGTGAAAAATAAAAATTCATTTAAACACATAACTGCCGATCTGCCCTTTCTATATGCATAACATTTGGACGGTAAAATATTCTTTTTTTCCACCCAACTAACTATCTTATCCTTTAACAGCATGTTCAAGCATTTCACTGTGACTGACAAGAGCGAAATAGGCCGAAAATTTTTTAACTCACTGAGATCGCGATTAGGTTTCGGAATTGGTACTATTTTTATTATCCTCCATTCATCTTTTATAATATTCCTATTAAAATGAAGCTCTAGCTCCTTTAATAGTTTTAATCTACAACTATCTGATAAACATTTTATCATTTCAAAGGTTATTCTGTCATGTCCACCAGCTGTACTCTTTTTCCTTTTTAACATTTGATTGAACTCCTCAAAAGAGAAGTTAGTCCACTGACTGACACCCTGACTGACGAGACACCTGTCCTCTGTAAGACTATTCTCTAAATTCGACACTTGTGATTTCAACATCTCCAGATATCTTTCGTTATCCTCACTAATCCATGCCAGCTCTTTATATTTTTTTCCTCTTACATTATTAACAAAGTTCCACGCTTCTTTCGTATTGGCATTTCTATT